GCTAAAATGGCGCTAGCTAACAAGAAAAATTCTGTGAAAAATTTCTTACTAACGATAGTCCGTACATTCAACTATTCAGAGATATAAACATTAGTGCTGAAAGACAAAGAAGAGCAGTAGTACATTTGCCAAGTCTTTTGCAAATTCATAGTTTTTCCAAATCAAAAAAAAATCTCTTTGGGTTGTAGTGTAGTAGGTTTCCTAATAAACATTTTGATTCACAGATTGCAGTGTAAGTCCAGCCAAAGTTTGCTTGCTACACAAAGCTCTACTTACGAATTTAATTCAGTGCAGATTCATAGAAGTCTTGAAAAGCGAAGGCCTGGATTTTACATGAATTTTAATTTTGGGAGTAATTTAGAAGCATAGTCATCATAATGAATGGCACTTTAAGGGGTGTAACGAAGTGGGAAAGATAAGAATATCAACGTGACTGATATTGTATTGTTAGGTCAGCCTAGTCAAATATCGACCACTTGATGGAAATGAGTTTGGAAGAGTGAGCAAACAGGTTGAGACAAGTTGGAGAAAGGTTTGCTTGAGCATTTTTGTATAGAATGAATGGATTCGCGAATGCAATATCTTATCGCACCGCATGGACTAAGTCCATTTTATTCGCACGAAAAGCCCATTTCGCGGGGACTTTCGTGGATATCATTCCAGAAATGCATCTCTCTTCAACCCTTTTCGCCATGCGAATTTAGCCGGGAAGACTATAAATAATAGCTTGAATTACTTTGCTGGTGCTCATTTCGCCTTTCAAATGCGGAATCCTAGCGCACTTCTCTATCTTGAGCAAGTCTAACCTGTTCATCGATGATAATATGTCATTATTATTACGAGAATGTTCACTTTGAAACTGTTTGGTCGAAATGAGGTTAAAATTAACCAAAAAACAGATTGAACTTACATTGCTAGGTAGGGTAACACGAACTCTTGGTGAAACCTGTTAAGCATGTAGATGACATGTCAAATTTTTTTGACACGTGGCAGAAGGATGACACTCCTTCCTATGAGGTTGGGACAAAATATGGCACAAGGATAGAAGCAATATCTTTCTTTGAAAAAATGGGTCCGGATAACGGATAAGTACCGATATTTTATTTGACGCTTGGAAAATCTATGCGTTTTCGTGCCGCTTTTCAACCAAGTTCCAACCTTACCTCAGAGTTAGCACGATTTCGAGCCTCAAAACTCAGTTCGAAAGCCCTACAATGAAGTAAGCAAAAAGTATGTAGAAGTTCACAAGACTGTGTATTTGGCTAGAAAAAATCAGCAGCGTTGAGCGTTTGTTTTGGCCACGCAGACGTCATTTCACCAAAACCACTGTTTTTACTACTGCAATCCTCCCTTATTTGGTTTTAGGTCCGTACAAGACTAGTTGTGCAAAAAACCCAAAAACTTTAGCACGGATATATCATCATGCAAACAGCGCAGCTGCTTCACATCAAATGTTTGCGCGAGACAGAAGCTGAGTTTTGAGGCTCGAAATCGTGTTAACTCTAGGGTAAGGTTGGAACTTGGTTGAAAAACGGCACGAAAACGCATAGTTTTTTTTCAAGCGCCAAACAAAATATCTATCGAAAGAGCTTATTTCATCTCATAGCCTCGATACAAGCTAATTAGAGTACCTAAACCACTGAAGAACGTATGTTTTTGGAGCGCAATCACTCCAAAAGCATTTAGAGCCATCTGAAAAAAGTAGTGATCCTATTTTTGAGCTGCACTGGGTTCAGTGCGTAGCAGATATGTCATACTTTGTTACTGCAACTCTACAAAAAATTTGGACTCAAATGATTGCGATCTTGAATGAAAAATGGACCACTGTTTGAGATGTTCGTATAATTATGAACCGCTAATTCGCATTAGGCGCAAAAACGCTCCTAAGTTTGACATCCATTTCCATTCTTATGGAGCATATACCGTTTTCGGCTGTGTTCTATCGCGTGATACCGATGGCTTTTTGAGTTTCTTCCAAAAGTCCAAAAACTTTTAAAATTTGGGGTGTTCGTATAATTATGAACCGCACTTTACCGCGCGGGCCAAAGTCATTCCTTCGATACAAGTGCCCGGCGACTCCTTTTTGGAAAACATGCGACAGGCTTTGGCTATCTCGCGCATCAAAACAATGTGATTACAGGTGTTAGTACAATGGAAATGACTTTGTAAGCCTTATCTCAAAGTTTGTTTCTGCATCATTGGACAGCACCTCAGTGAGCAGCTGCCTATCCTTGAACGTCAGACGTGGAACGGGCGAAAAGGGAAGTAGAATGGGAACTGAATCACGCCTAAAGCTGCTCATGCTTCAGCGGTAGGACAGCGATGAGATGGAAATAGCACAGGCTTTGTACAGCGCTGCCGGAATGCTTACTGGAAGTTCTGGCCAGCATCGCGTTTTTTGCTCGGGCCTCCAAGACTTGTTTTCTTCTAAACTGCGTTTCCTTTCATTCGCCTTTCTTTTGCATCCACGCAAAGTGTTTAGCCCTATCATGACCAAACGAAACGGCTACCTTAATTATAAGGAACAATGTTTGGTTTCCAAATTGACTCGTCTCTAAAAACCCTGTTGTCACTTAATATACGAGCTAAAAAGGCAACACAATTTTCAGACTCAGTCTATCTAGAGCGCCTGTATGGGATTGTCTCTGATTATCATGACTTATAATAAAGCACTTAGCGTCTGTTTTGTGGTGTGTGTGTATGTGTGTGTGTGGTGTGTGTGTGGTGTTTGTGTGTGTGTGGTGTGTGTGTGGTGTGTGTGTGGTGTGTGTGTGTGTGGTGTGTGTGATGTGTGTGGTGTGTGTGTGGTGTGCGTGTGGTGTGTGTTTGGTGTGTGTGGTGTGTGTGTGGTGTGTGTATGGTGTGTATGGTGTGTGTATGGTGTGTATGGTGTGTGTGTGTGCGTATGGTGTGTGTGTGTGTTTGTGTGTGTGTGTGGTGTGTGTGTGTGTGGTGTGTGTGTAGTGTGTGTGGTGTGTGCGTGTGGTGTGTGTGTGGTGTGTGTGGTGTGTGTGTGGTGTGTGCGTGGTGTGTGTGGTGTGTGTGTGGTGTGTGTTTGGTGTGTGTGGTGTGTGTGTGGTGTGTGTATGGTGTGTATGGTGTGTGTGTGGTGTGCGTATGGTGTGTGTGTGTGTTTGTGTGTGTGTGTGTGTGTGTGTGGTGTGTGTGTGTATGGTGTGTGTATGGTGTGTATGGTGTGTGTGTGTGCGTATGGTGTGTGTGTGTGTTTGTGTGTGTGTGTGGTGTGTGTGTGTGGTGTGTGTGTAGTGTGTGTGGTGTGTGCGTGTGGTGTGTGTGTGGTGTGTGTGGTGTGTGTGGTGTGTGTGTGGTGTGTGCGTGGTGTGTGTGGTGTGTGTGTGGTGTGTGTTTGGTGTGTGTGGTGTGTGTGTGGTGTGTGTATGGTGTGTATGGTGTGTGTGTGGTGTGCGTATGGTGTGTGTGTGTGTGTTTGTGTGTGTGTGTGTGTGTGTGTGTGTGGTGTGTGTGTGTGTAGTGTGTGTGGTATGTGTAGTGTGTGTGGTGTGTGTGTGTGGTGTGTGTGTAGTGTGTGTGGTGTGTGCGTGTGGTGTGTGTGTGTCACAAAATTTATGGAGGGAGCTGCAGCCAAGCTTTCGAGCTACAATTTTGCATAACCAGTATGTAAGTCCGCCATGCACAAGGCGATCTGGTTAGATAAGCGGGTCCTTCAAAACTTGAGCGTCAAACCGGTCCACGCGGTTTTGGCACTCAAAATTAGGTCGCTAATTAGACTTTTTGCAAAGTCATGGTCTGCCTGGTAGGTAAATCTGGACTCCATGTAACCCAAAAAGTGCTCATAAGGTTGCTTTTCTTCGAAAATAGCGCCAAAAAGTGGTGGTCGCGTAAACAATTGTTTTGGGGAGGTTTTACTTAAAAAATTGAAGAGATTCTTGTACGAACTTAGGCCAGAATGGCTATTGCCTTTATGAGGATTGCCAAGCCAAGTTTAAATCAGTGATCCATTCAAATTTGCTTTGTTTTTTTTTGCAACGAAGTTTTCTTTCGCGAAATCAAATATCTTAATGGAGATGTTTCAGGAATGAGCAATTTGTGATGCTCAGGATGAAGTTTGCATTGTACGGGGTTTTTTCATAGAAAAGCAAATACGTAAATTCCACTCATATGGTTCACGCACCACGCTGTAACATACTCGCTTGCGTATCCTTATGATTGCATCATAGAGAAATAGGGGAGGGGAGAGAGAAGGAGGGCACACCTTGTATTCGCAAACTTTGGATAGCCTACATGAGTTACAAAATTGCGTGAGTGACAAATATCACTTGTAAATTACTGAAATGTATCAAACCAGCCTTTAGAACTTTCTTCGGCTCCTGCGGTGTCCGCATGAACTCCGTAGCATTTAAATAATTGTCATGAAGGGTGTGGTTAACGCCAGGCATCTCGCATCGTGGTTTTTAGCAGAAGGGTGAGGCGAAGTTGCCGAACGGTGATGGGAGGAAAGGGGGTGAGAGACGGTAGTTTTCCCACTCTATTCAAATTCACACTGGCCTATGCCAGACCTAAAGTCGTTCGCCCGGATAGCGCGGATGATGCATGCTTACTTAGGCCCGTATGCACGTACATCCCCGCTGAGGAGGGGAGGGGATCTGAGAGGGGTTGCGTCATATCTCGTTACTTTACGTATCTTTCTTCTTCCTTTTCTATCTTGCTTATGAAGGTTCTCATACCCTACTACCTGCGCATAATCGATCCCAGGTTACTGGCATAACTGATTAGATTTGTACTATTTTGTGTGATCCCCTGTGGATCCCCAGGGGATCCCCAGGGGATCACACAAAATAGTACAAATCTAATCAGTTATGCTGGTAACCTGGCATCGATTATGCGCAGGTAGTAGGGTATGAGAACCTTTATAAGCAAGATAGAAAAGGAAGAAGAAAGATACGTAAAGTAGCGAGATATGACGCATCCCCTCTCAGATCCCCTCCCCTCCCCAGCGGGGATGTACGTGCATACGGGCCTTATACATCTGTGTAAGAAGAAAGGTAGAAAACACCAACATCTTTAGGGACAAAGGTGGAAAGCAAGACTGTGCATGTCCAGAGGACCAAGCCGGCTGTCATCAAGTATTTTCTATTGTATCTGAAGTATTCTTTACAAACGTGAAACATTCAAGTGTCATTCAACCCACCTGTCTCCAAAAAATCCCCAGACTGGTGCGATTACTGTGGCAGATATCATATATACAGACCAAAGCAAACCGCCCTGCGTATCGTTTACGTCATAAAATGCTTGAATGGCAGTTAAAAGTCCTTAATTTATTTTAATACAATGAAATGCAAAAGAGATGCAAGTGTACCTGCCACTGTCATTCTATCCAAGTAGTTTAATATATTAATGAGAATTAATATTAACATTTTCCAAATAGAACTTGATTTCTGCAATGAGCTCTAATTGCTGGCTTTGTTATCTTCACAGCGAGTTTTAAGAAGCCAAGATAAGCTAAGCCTAAGAAAGAATAGGTGAAAAAGTGCAACCTTTCTACGTCTCTGCTTTTCTTCTCTTTCATCTATTTTTGTAGCTTTTTTAACGTCCCCTTCTTTGCTTACACCCTCTTCGAAGCTCTGCTTCTTCTCTCTTGAACTCAATTTTCTTTCTCCAGATTTCTGTAAAAGCGAGATGTGCTCAACTCACAAATCTGCTGACGATTACCGCAACTGATTCAAGCTTAGGGGCTAATTCCGCTGAAGCCACTGAACCTTCTCCGGATTTTCTACCTTCTACCGATTTAAGGTCAACACTTTTTTCATCGGATGACTTATCCAAGGAGTGGGGTTGGTTCCCTTCTTCAGATTTGCCTTCTTTTGATTTTTCTCCTTCTATCATGGCTACAAACCTGTATGATCACAATGCGAACAAAATAATGTCGAGAATTGTTACAGAATCAAAAGTCAAGACAAGAAACATGTCTTCAGTTCCAATTGGAACTAAAAACAATATGCAAGCTCAGCTTATCACAGCTTATCCATTCTCCATAAGTAAGTTTATTCTATTTCTAGTTCACTATAATCATCTTTTCACTTATGCGGATATCAGTCTCTGTGGTGTTGGAGAGGAACAGCGTTAACTGCATGATGATTCAGGAAAACTTATTTAGCACTAGATGGCGCACCCGGATCGCGCGACCCGTGGGTCTGAACAGCTGATGCCGCGAAGGGTATCGTTCTTAGAATGTACAACTACCTTCTCAAGTTTCCAATCTCCTACTCTTCTTCACCCTTGGCATGCTCCTTTCTTTTTTCTTGCGCCCTCTCCAGACCTGCGCTTACCGTTCCTGCGGCTCCTGCTTGACTTGTCCTTCATCCTGGCTGCATCGCCTTGCAATAACGCATCTCCCTCACCGCGGAATGAGAATGAGCTTTACCACCCGTGTTTAACCGGATATCGGAGAATGCTTGGTCAATATATGATGAGCTTCCATTTGCGTGGATTTGAGTAAACATGAATTCCAATGAAAAATAGCCTAAAGCCGTTTCGGGGTCGAAAACATCTGCGTGCAAACTCAGCTCAATTGGTTGAGCGGCTGCGTTTCTGTAACGCACATACCCTCCAAACAGACAATCTATATATATCTCTATATATATAAACTCAAAAACTGTCCGTTTGGAGGGTATCTGAGTTACAGAAACGCACGCCGCTTTACCGATTGGGCTGAAAGTTTGCATACAGATGTTTCCGACCCCGGAGACGGTTTAAGGCTACTTTTTGCGGCGATTCACTGGGTCCTTCCTACCGATTTATTGATTTGTTTACGTTTTCCTAAGGATTTGAAGGGTTATCATGTTTGATCAAGCATTTTGCCAAAGTTCAGTAAAGAAGGGCGATGAAGCTCATTTTCACATCAGGATCACGAGGATGCGGTTACGAAGCGGGTCCCAGGGTAAGTCATCCACAACATATAAGAAGGGGGGGGGGGGCTTGCAGATAGGTGACCCATGACCCGGGCTGGCCGGGAAAGCCAACTAGTATATACAGGGTGTCCCAAAAGTAAGTACACACTTTTCAATCGTTAATATCTCTCTCCCCATTACGTCTTTTTCTGCCATTCGAATACCATTCTGTAGAGGAAGCTTCAACTTAGATTTACAGTGTTGAGCGAATAACCGATCGCTCTTCATTACTGTAGGATTAGTGTAGGAACTTCGACAAGGATTTTAGACCAATAGAAGCCATAATCTGCCTCGGAACAAAACTAAACAAGCCAAAAACTCTTACACTATGGTAATGGAAGCCGCTGACTTCAAATATGGAATTTACACTCAACTGTGATGCTTCTTTGCAAAGTTATCCTACGTGAAACGTAATAGCCGAATTCCCAGTATTCGTCAGAAATGTGATTAGACCGTCAAAAAAGCTGAAAACACTCGTAAAAAGTTGTGTAATGGAATTAGCGTGCGCGAAAACCTTAGTAAACAAATTTTCAGATTTTTAGAAAAAAGTTTTGTTAGTTGGCATATTTCACAATGGTTCCATCTGGAAGTTCTTACCGTAATCCTACAGTAACGAAAAGCGATCGGTGATTCGATCAACACTGTAAATCTAAGTTGAAGTCTCCCCTACAGAATGGTACTTGAACGGCCAAAAAAGACCCATTGGGAAGAGGGATATTGACGATTGAAAAGTGTGTACTTACTTTTGGGACACCCTATATATATATATATATATATATATATATATATATAGTATATATACATATATATATATATATAACTTAAAGTTTGTGCAACTCTTGACCGTATGTTTTTATAGACTCCTTTGCGCGTGAACCGATTGAGCTGAAATTTTGCACATATATGTTTTCGATCCCGTAGATGGGTTAAGGCTGCTTTTTGAAGCGATTCGCTGGATCCTTCTATTGATTTATTGGTTTTGGCACTTTGCAACGAAAGTGAAGTCTTGTCAACCACTATCGTACCCCATGTACATTTTGGTGTAGACAATGCTGTAAAGTTCATTTTCACTGTAAAGTGTAGAAGATGCAGTTACTCCAACCAGTCACTCTGAGGTAAGCTCAGGCAGGAGGGTAAGGGGGAGGGGTCTTCAGTGCAGTATCGAGGCTGCAATAGGGTATGGCCGAACCGAAAAAGAAGGGAGGAGAGACAAAGTGTGGTTTGGCCATACTCCTAAACGGTTACTCGGGCTGGATCGGGAAAGCCAGCTACTTTTTTATATATAGAGATAAGGCAGCTTGCCCCTGGACTAAGTAAGCGTGCAGATTCGAAGTGAGAGGTCAATAACAGATATTCTTCCTGCATTTGAACGATACAACACAGTAATGTTTGAGCAGGATCTACTTTCGCTTGCACAAGGGCGGCAACGCCACAGATAAATGTTGCTCTTGTATAAGCGTAGTCGAATTTTGGGCACGGATAACTTTATCTGCTTCTACGCGGGCTTCTAGCTGCACAGTTGAAAGGCATCTGATCAATCCTTTGGAAAGAAATGGGCTCAAATTCGCTTGTTTATGATACCCATCATTTGGCAGTAAAGGGACGCCGCGATCGCGGAAAGCCCGGTCGCATTTCTATTTCACTTCCTTTGTGGTTTGCGAAGACTCTCATGCGCTGGGCAATCGCTGCATCACGAAACGAGGGAGTATTAGCTTTGTCGTCCACCCTCTATTGTAAATTATCGGTTCGCATAAGATCCTACTCATTGGCTATCCTACGTCTACACTCTCCACGTCAAAGACCACTAGCATCAACAGTTTCCCTTCAACATCAGCAAATGAAACAGAACTGGATGCCTTCTATGAAAACATGAAAGTCGTCTATAACGTGAATCCTTACAAGTTTGTTGGGGGCGAAAATCGGGAATAAGAGGAATATAATGCTGTTTTGTTCGGATTCTCTTGGCTTCACGACTCTTCCATGGATTCTCTATCTTTATGGGAAGAACACCGCCGGCGAACATGGGAGCCTAACAATGGGACCCCAACTAAGGCACTGCCCCACCGGCAGCTCAGATGGTGTTCTAACGGCTGAGATATTCGCATCCACACTGGATCCCAGGATCCTATTTCGCATGGATTCATGGCGCGACACATCAGTTTCGCGTGGGTCCTCGCGCAAAAGCATGCCAGCACGATGCAAGTCGCCCTATAATACGATCCTAAGGTCCAGTTTAGTGGCGTATATCTCAGCCGTTAGTGAGCCATTAGCGCTGCTGCTTGGGCCGTGCCTTAGTTGGGGCCCCAAATTACTTTCCGCGCAAAATCCTCATAGGTCCAGATTTGCCTGGACGCTGCCTTTAACCGGAATTGGAGAAGATTATTCGATGTCTTAGTGGTTCCCATCCTTCTGTAGGGTCTCCGACCACCGCCTTTTCGAAAGTACAGTTAGATCAAAAATTGGAAGAAGAATGACCACAGCGTCGCGAGAGGAAAAAAGATCGTTTATGCGGCGACAGCTTTAGGATTGTCAAGTCGTGACTGGCTCATCGAGGAGAACCAACGACGACTACGACAGACTTCTGAAAGGAACGTGAGCCTGCAGAAAATGTGCCTCAACGATTTGTGAGGAAAATTTGTAACGCATCTCGAGAAACAACAAGCGATTGCCCAAAAGGGAGAGGGCAGAAAGATTCGAATACAATTCATCACGAGCTACTGATGGCGAACCCCAGTTGAAAAATGCTTTGCAGATTAACCTTCGTAAGTGCAAAGCGAAGATAATCGAAGCAGCCGAAAGAAAAGGAAGTTTCAAAAAGTGCCGGAGGGACTTCTGCGATGCTACTACAACGGACCGGTTGCAGCGCTGCCAAACGGGGACGGAACCCCAACTGATTCCCGACAAAAAATGGAATTAATTGCGGAAGACATTAATACGTTTCGGACCGCGAAATCGCGCGCGGCAAAAAAGAGTGCACTTTCAGCCATTAGCCAACAAAGGACCTTATTTCGTAAACTGTGAGCTGCATCTATGAGCAGCTTTTCGGATAAGTTCCATACCCAAAGTTCTAAATGGATTAACACATTGACGACAAGGCCGATTTTTCGATTACTGCCATTTCGGACAGGAGCCTTTTTTGCTCTGCCAAACTTATGACCCACTCGTGGGTCGTATTGTCCGAAATGGTAGTCTTTTTGTAAGAAATTCAGAACGTGTCTCCGAGAATTTCCCCACAAGGGTTATCGAACGCGCTGATTACCAAACTATGATTTATTTCAGTTTTGGCAGTATACGGTAAAATTACGGTAGTCATTATCTAGGAACCCAACATCATGGAATTCATGAAAAATTGTGTTTTGGGGATTATTTCACGTGCTGATCACGATTATAGTGTCCATTTGTTCACTACATTCTCACGGTGGGACTACGGTAGCAGTACGGTAGAATTTTCGTAGAAATTAAGAAACTGATTTTAGAAGGTGGTATCAAAACTTGAGACTATCATTTTCGTAATCAGCATGCTACAAAACCTAAATATGCAAAGTTCGAGCTTCCTAGGACGGAAAATGCAAAAAATCAATAAAATCAATAAAATCGATAATTTTTGGTGGATTAACGTCAGCCTCTTGCCCGCCCCGTATTACTCTTAGGGCCGCATGCACTAATATCCCCGCGGGGAGGGGATCGCAGCTTCAGAAGAAAGCTTCATATCCTGAAGCTCCAGTTATCTGGATTTACGCTGTCTACCTATCCGTAAGTATTCCTACTACCCTTCACTATGAACATGTTGAACAGGAGCGAGAAGCTGTACAAACCGCATTTTCCAGCTTTTGTATGATCCCTGATGATCCCCGGCGCTTTTCTTTAAAGTCATTTTTCTTTCTCCGAAGTCAACGAAAACCTTCCAAAGTTGTACTGAACATCTAACACAATACT